GACACATTGGGACCCATAGAGACCCATAGAGACACGTTGGGACCCATAGAAACACGTTGGGACCCATTGGGACCCATAGAGACATGTTGGGACCCATAGAGACACATTGGGACCCACTGGGACCCATAGAGACATGCTGGGACCCATTGGGACCCACAGAGACATGTTGAGACCCATAGAGACCCACTGGGACCCACAGACTCCCCCCCCTCCCTGGTGCCCCGTTCCAGCTCCATTTTATCTCGCCGCCTCGCGCTGTAGGGTTTTGTGATTCCCGGTTCTCTGTTCCACATCGTGACATCATTGGGGCCGTGGCACTTCATCCATCACTGCTGAAGCCCTGCCCAGAAGAAGAAGCGCTGCATCCCCGGGGGGGGGGGCGGTTCAACTCGCGCCCGGCTCTCCTGCTGCTCTTTTCCTCTGCTCTCGGTTGTGGGCGCTGCTCGTCTCCCCGCTGCTCAACTGCGCATCTCAGCTCAGGTTGCGGTGAGGCCAATCCACCCTTCTGCACACTTTCCCTCTCATTATATTCCACTGATCAGCTTCCATTCTGATCGTATTGTATCATAGTGCGTTCTCTTGCATTCCGACAATATACTTAGCAAATCAGTCTCTTCCTCCTCAGATCGTTGCCGCTGTTTTTAATCATTTTGGGGTCCCCCGTTTCCTTTTTTTCCCGGATCCGCGGATCCCTCCGCCACGGAACCGGGCCGAACCAACCCTTCAACCGCCGCCACGCGCGCCGCCGCAAATCATCCACGGCTGCTCACGGTGGCTCCATCACGGTGTCCATCGCTGTCCTTCGCTGCGCTCGGCCACAGCCGCCCCTCTCAGCCGCGGTCCCGCATCCTGGCGCACGGTTCGCCCCCCCGCGGCCGCGCCAACCTCCCCAACGTCCCTCCGTGGCTGCGCGGAGCCGCTCCCGGCCGTGCGGCCGCCTCCCATCGCTCTGCGCCCCCTCTGCAAACTCGCTCTCCCTCGCGCATCGCGGCACGCTCACGCAGCGCTGCCCCCTCACGCTCACCCTTTTGCACGCTCACAGCCCTTCCCTTCTGCTCGCACCGACAGAGCCGTGCGCGCCGCTCCCAGGTGTTTTATTTACAGCCGAGCAGCGCGGATCCGAAACGGCGATGGGGGTTTGGGAGGGGGGGGAAGGGGGGCGCTGGGGAACGACCCCCCGCCCTGTAAGCTGTGCGCCTACGCAGTCCTATACACCTATGTACAGCAGCGCTATCTACAGCACGGACCCCCGCCATGGGGGGAAACAACGGCGGTGCCCCACGGGAAGCTGCGTTCCAAGTCGGGACCCCGCGCTGTGAGCAGGGGGAGTGGCAGTGGGGAGGGGGGGGGGGGGGCGACCCGTGGGGTCCCCGTGTCCCCAGTGTGGCAGCAGCACGGGTGGCATTTGGGGACGGGGCTCGGTGCACGTCCCCAGTTCTGTGGAGTGTACAGAGGTGGCATTTGGGGACGGGGCTCTGTCCTGGGTCGTGGCACATGTCCCCAGCCTTGTCCCATGCAGCGGGGGTGGCACACGGGGACAGAAGCCCATCCTGGTGGCACAGTACACGTCCCCAAACCTGCACCAAGCGGCAGAGGTGGCATCTGGGGACAGAGTCCTGGTGGCACAGCGTGTGTCCCCAGCCTCATGCCAAGCAGAGAGTGGCATCTAGGGACAGGACCCCATCCTGGTGGCACAGAGCGTGTCCCCAACCCTGTTCCAAGCAGCAGAGGTGGCATCTGGGGACAGGAACCCAGCAAAGTGCACATCCCCAACCTCACACCAGCAGCACGGGTGGCATTTGGGGACAAAACCCCATCCTGATGTCACGGCACACGTCCTCAGCCCTGCACCAAGCAGCAGGGGTGGCATCTGGGGACAGAGTCCCAGCGGCACAGCATGCGTCCCAGATGCAGCGCGTTTGGGGACAGGACCCCTCCTGGTGGCACGGCGCACGTCCCCAGTCCTGCGCCATGCAGCAGAGGTGGCATTTTGGGGACAGAGTCCTGCTGCACGGCGCACGTCCCCAGCATCGTCCCAAGCAGCAGAGGTGGCATTTGGAGACAAGAGTCCATTCTTGGGGCACGGCGCGTGTCCCCAGCTCGGTGCCAGCAGTGAGGGCGCCACGTGGGGACCCAGAGGCGCTACCAGCACCGAGGGCGGCGTTTGGGGACGGAGCCCCATCCTGGTGGCACGGCGCGTGTCCCCAACCTCGTGCCAGCACCAGGGCTGGGTGACACGCGGGCTCGGAGCGCACAGCACACGTCCCAGATGCGGCGCCTTTGGGGACAGAACTGCCGTCCCCACGACACAGCGCGCGTCCCCAACCTCACGCCAGCACCAGGGGGTGACGATGGGGGACGGGACGCGGCGGCACCACGCCGGGGTGGCAGGGAGGGGACGGCGGCGTGTCAATGTCCCCCCCCTCGGCCCCGTGTCCCCGCTCACACCAGGTGCCCGCGCCCGTTGATGTAGATGCCGTTGGTGCTGGGCCGTGCCTGCAGCATGCCATTCTCCTGCACAAAGTGCGTCATTGCCTGCTTGATGGGGTTGTCCCCACCGTCCTCCTCCTCCTCCTTCACCTCTTTGCCCTCCAGGGATGGGGACAGCAGTGGGGACACGGGGACTTCGGTCTGCGTCTCGATCTCCCGCACCGTGGACAGGGTGGAGTAGCTGCGGCCCTCGGCCTCTTCACTCTGCAGGGACGCGTGGCCACCTCGCGTCACCCCGGGTCACCACTGTCACCCTAACACCAACCCCGACTTCCAGCCCCACAGGTGCCCCGACCCCCACCCCATGGGCACCTCCACCCCCGTCCATATGGGCACCCTGACCCCCACCCCCATGGGCACCCTGACCCCCATCCATATGGGCACCACCCCATGGGCACGTCAACCCCCATCCATATGGGCACCTCAACCCCCATCCATATGGGCACCCCGACCCCCATCCATATGGGCACCTCAACCCCCAACCCATGGGCACCCCGACCCCCATCCATATGGGCACCTCGACCCCCACCCAATGGGCACCTCAACCCCCATCCATATGGGCACCTCGACCCCCACTCCCACAGGCACCTCGACCCCCACCCCATGGGCACCCCGACCCCCACCCCATGGGCACCTCAACCTCCGTCCACTTGGGCACCCCAACTTCCCTCCACATGAGCACCCCAACCCCTACCCCCACAGCATCCCCCACCCCACAGACACCCCGATGCTCAGTCCCACTTGAACCCCCCCACACACGAGGCCGCCGTGCGCCGGCTGCAAGGCGCCCAGCAGCAGGGAGGGATTGGCACGGGGACACGGCGGGGCCGCTCCGAAGCCCAAAAGCGGAGCTCACCATCGCAGAGCAGATGCTGGTGCCTCGCAGGCTGTCCCCTCGCAGGCTGTCCCCTCGCAGGCTGCCCTGCCGGCTCTCCGTGCGCAGCTGCAGCGTCTCCTCCAGCTGCAGAGCCACGCTGTCAGAACCCAGGCGCCGCCGCGGCCCCCCGTCGGATCCCCGATGCTCCCCACACACTGCGGCGCTCGGCCCCACGGCCACCCAACATCCACCCCCACGGCGCCCCCATCCCCGTGGCGACTCAACATTCAGCCCCCTGGGCATCGCTCCCATCTCCACAGCGCCCCAATTCCCACCCCTACAGTACCTTCATATCCAGCCCCATGGCCAAGCCAGTCTCCATCCCCAGAGCACCCGAAGATCCAGAACCCTGGATACCCCAATCCCCCCAATCCCCAATGCCCACAGAACCCCAATTCCCCACCCCCGTGGCATCCTGATGTTCAGCCCCATGGATCCACAATTCCCAGCCCCACGGCACCCCAGGGCACAGCGCCATCGGTACCCCGATCCCTACCCCCACAGCACCTCGATTCCTGTCCCCATGAGAACCCCGATCCCCATCCCCACGGCACCCCAATATCCAGCCCCATGGGAATTCCAATGCCCTTCCCCGTGGCCTCCAATTCCCACCCCAAATGCACCCCAATACCCAGCCCCATGGCACCCCAGTCCCCACCCCCTTAGCACCCCAATCCCCACCCCCTTGCACCCCAATTCCCACCCTCACAGCACCCCAAAATCCAGTTCACCACAAATATCCCATCCCCATCCCGCTGCCTCCTCCCCGGAGACCCCCAGCACCCCTCACCCCGTCCCCCACCTGGGTGCGCGTGTCGGTGCTGTGACTGGAGTGCAGGCGGCGGATGGAGTTCTCCCGTGTGAGCGTCAGCTCCTCCTCACTGTGGGGCCACACCTCAGTGAGGGCCCCCATGGGGTCTGTGGATCCCCCCATGGGGTCTATGGGTCCCTCCATGGGGTCTGTGGGTCCCCCGTGGGGTCTGTAGGTCCCCCATGGGGTCTGTGGGTCCCCCCATGGGGTCTGTAGGTCCCCCATGGGGTCTGTGGGTCCCTCCATGGGGTCTGTAGGTCCCTCCATGGGGTCTGTGGGTCCCCCATGG